TTATTTCTTATTAATAAGCCCTTTCTTTTTATTTCTTTTTTCCTTGCATAAATGTTTCCTGTTGTGGTGTATCATTATAAACAAAAAAGAAAAGGAAGAAAAAAGTTAATTAAAATAAATAAATAATTAATAAAAATAAATAAATAAATAAATGAATAAATAAATTATTTATTTTTATTTAATTTATTATTTTAATGCTAAATAATAAAACATTGAATAGGCAGCATAAAGGTGACGATACACCGCAACTTTTTTTCCTCTTTCCTTTCTTTCTTTCTTTATTCTTATAATAAAATAAATAAATAAATAAATAAATAAATAAATAAATAAATAAATAAATAAATAAATAAATAAATTATTTTTTATTTAATTCAATTAAAAAAAAAATAAAAGAATAAAATAATAAAATAATTATTTTTTCTTTACAGCAATTATAAAAAAAGAGAAAAAAGAAGAAAAAAGAACAAGAGAGGCTACCGTTCTTGTTGCCTCTTGTTGCTGCTGCTATTGCTGCTGCAGTTGCTGCTGCTGCTGCAGTTGCTGCTGCTGCTGCTATTGCTGCTGCAGTTGCTGCTGCTGCTGCAATACTATAACCACCCCACAAGCATCCAAGCCCCAAATATCTGCATGCGTTTGCCTGCTGCTCTTGTTCTATACAGCATACACTTTATTATTATTTATTTATTTATTTATCTATTTATTTATTTATTTATTTATTTATTTATTTATTTATTTATTTACTATTAGTAGTAATAATAGTAATAATATTACTATTTATTATAATAATATTTATTATTATTATTATTACCTTATATAGATATAGATAGAGGGATAAATAGTGCTGTATCTTAACCCTAAACCCTAAACCCTAAACCCTAAACCCTAATTTAGTACGAATAAGAATTGCCGAGGGAGCAAAGGGAGTAAATAAAGAAAAAAGTATAATATTATTCCCTAAATACTATTCCTCTGCTATAAATACAGCAGCAAATAGACAACTAAGCAGCAGAACCTGCTGCAGCACCAGCAGCAGAACTTGCTGCAGCACCAGTAGCAGAACTTGCTGCAGCACTAGCAGCAAACCTCAAACAGTGCATGCATGCATGTATGCATGCCAGTATGCGAGGAGCCGTGCATTAATGCATGCATGCATGCATGCATGCATGCATGCAAGTATCAATATAAGGAAAGATTATTAAGGTCTCTCTTGTACTGTCTATTAGGACTATATTATGTATTAAGTACCTGTATACCTTTATCTATTTACTAGTGCATGCAGGCAGCTAATTCCTCTCTCTTTTTCCTCCTTTTATGTCTTTATTGTCTTTATTATAAGGAGGGAGACCATTAAGTAACTTACATAAATAAATCTTAATACCTAAGGGCATAAGAAGAATTATTTGCTTTTTTCTTCTTATTAACTCAACACTATGTTGGCACTGTTGCTGCTCGCGAGCTGGGTCGTCCTCTAAGGACTGTGACGCCTCTTGGCAAAAGGACCGAGCAATTAAACATAATATATCCTTTAATAAACTTAATATTAATTAATGCCTTCAAATATACAATAAATACATCCAATTAATCTGCAAAAAGATATAAATGGTGATGTGCTTACTGCCTTTTCTCATTGATGCACCATTGGAGTATCCGCTGTGTGGGCTCCACCGATGGTTATTTGGATAAAAAAGGGAAAAATAAAAAGAATAAAAAGGAAAAGGAATCATTTTATTAAAATAAATTAATATTAAACTAGCACTATATCGGTACTTTGCAAGAAATGATGATGATGGTGCTGCCCACTCATCGATGTATGACGCCAGTGGCAGTGATTGTATTTCAGGTGTACATGCAGACTGTTAGCGAGTGTGTGGAGGAGGAAAAGCGCCTAAAAAGGCATTTCCCGTGAATATTTTTGTATAATGCAAAGACATATGAATACACAAAGTATAATTTAATAGAATAAAATCAAAAAGAGAAGAAAATACATCAAAAAAAGACCTGTAAATCTCCTCTCCTGTGGGCCAATCGAGGAATTGCAATGTGTGCACCAGGGAAAGCACGAAGAACGTTTGCTGCCATTTAGAGGATATTGAAGACTTCTTTTCTTGATTTTTCTTTTCCTTTTGAATTGTTTTTTATTTGTTTTATTACTTATCATAGAAGTTTCCAGCTTTCTCCATAAAATTGCCTAGGAAGCTCGAAGTTTCTACCGCCGCGTCCCACACACACCGTCCATCGCGTTCAAATTTTCCTTATCTTCATGAATATTTCTTTGTTTTAATGAATATATTTTGATTATTTTTGCATTAGGAGGATATTTAATTGTTAATAAAGACAATTACTCGACGATTTCTACCACCTGCAGGCGCAGATTTTTTTTTTTTGCTCAACAGTCTTGCAAAGACGAGATACTGGCTACATATACCACTGAATCTGCAGGAACTGCAGTCCTTCTTGATTTCGTCTTCTTTTTCTTTTCTTTTTCCTCTTAAGTTTGAAAATGGAGGTTGACAGAGTCATTCCTTCTCAATTTGTTTACCCTGCGCCTCCTGGCAGCGTCGCTTCTCCTGAGTTGGCTCCCCAGGGGGAGTACTACGGTCCAGCTCCTGCACCAGGAGAAGCTCCACCAGGAGCAGCAGGAGGAGAGGCAGCAGCAACAGGACCACCGGAATATGTTTATTCACCTTCGGTAGAGTTAGGGGGCCCCCCTCCAGCTGCTCCTCCTTTGGATGCAGGGGGCCCCTGGGCACAGAAACGTCTGGTTGTGGGCCCCACTTCTACCGATACACCTCAGCTGTACGGACGTGTACCCCCTCGTACATGGGGAGAAGCAGCAAGAGAGTGGTTTGGCGGTTTCATGGCAGGTTTCCAGCAGCAGCAACAGCTGCAGCAACAGCAGCAGCAGCAGCAGGAAATAATGTATGCAGAGCCACGTAGGAGCTCTCTTGAGGGTTTTGTAGTAGGGGGCCCCCCTCAATTATTACATAATAATGTGGTGTATGTACCCCAGGCTATAGATAACAATACATATATCCCTGCGTCCCCTCTTCCTCCCCCCTTCCCTACAAAACCCTCAGCAGCAGCAGCAGCAGCAGCAGCAGCAGCAGCTCCTCCTCCCTCTGTTGTATTTATACCTCTAGAGTCTGAATTAATATGTAGAGGACATGAACAAGATAGAAGAGAACAATGTTTTGGTTGTACTATACCCCCTAGACAAATAAAATATAATATAATAAAAAAAGAAATAAATACATGTCTAGGTCTTAATAAAAAAATTATATTTAATGTTGTTTGTAGTAAATGTAATGCTACTATGCCTAGATGCCAACAATGTGGTAAACAATCTGTAATTAGACACCCATAAACCCTAAACCCTAAACCCTAAACCCTAGGATAAACCCTAAACCCTAAACCCTAAACCCTAGAAAATTGTTAGAAACTCTTGTAAACCCTAAGGAGAATACCTTAGTAATAAACCCTCCTACATCATTAAATTAACCTTCAAGTTGAAGGGAATCGTTCTTTATGAGGAAAGGAGGGGAACGAGGGTTTAGGGTTTAGGGTTTAGGGTTTAGGGTTTAGAAGGGTTTAAAAGGGTTTATAGAGGGACAAAGAACACATAAATCCCTCTTCTTCCTACTAAACCCTTTTTTTCTTTGATGGCTAATTGATGGGCCTTTCTTTTCATAAACACTTCTACCCAACTATGGGACTCATCTCTAGGGTTTAGGGTTTAGGGTTTAGGGTTTAGGGTTTAGGGTTTAGGGTTTAGGGTTTAGGGTTTAGGGTTTAGTGTTCAAGGTTTTATTTTGTTTAGTGAGATTGTTAGCCATTGATATGCATCTAGCAGCACATAGAAGCAACAACAGCAGCAACAGCAGGAGCAGCAGCAGCAGCAGCAGCAGCAGCAGCTAATAGTAGGAGCAGCAGCAGCAGCTAGCAGCAAACAATTGTTTGTACACCGTAGGTGTGCTGCTGCAGTTTGCTGCTGTCTGCCTATAGGTGTATTTCTTATAAAGAAATATAATTAAGTAAATATGTAATTAAATAAATACATAAATATATACATAATTAAATAAATAAATATATAAAATTAAATAAATAAATATATTTTTTATGTATTATATTTAATTAAATATTTATAATAAAAATAAATATATAACAAAGAAATATTTTTTCTTTTTTTTTGCGCATATTATGCAGAACATTTTTTTTCCTTTTTCTTTTTTTTTTTTTTTTTTTTTTTTT